ACTAATATCGTTCAGCGTGTAGTAAAGCACATTGCGTTTTGACTAATAACTATTTCATAAATTATTTTTCTCAAACAAGAACATTTTAAAATATATCTGACCTCGACTGACTGGCGCCTTATATGAGCTATAAATAAAAAAAAATGTCCACGTAGGAACCTCTTCATAACTCCTGAGGTCGTAGACCGACCCTCGTGCGAATTGATTAAGCATTCAAATTCTCAATGTTTTCGAGAGCCTAAGCGAAGCTGGGCAGCATGCCTAGTTATATATAAAACAACAGTGGATGGGGACCCGGGAAATAGTTATGATTTTTAATCCATTTTAAATACTTAAACATTTTAAAATAGAATGGTTCCATGACAAATGATCTCAGGAAAAACGATCTCAGACAAAATATCTCAGACAAAATATCTCACGGACAAATGATCTCAGGACAAAAGATTATTCATAATTAACTTTTAATGAATCATGTTTCATAATTTTTAGTGCTTAAATCACAACATACGGTTTTAAGCACAACTGGCATCGTGTGTATGTTGGAAACAGGAAATGTTTTAAAAACGATTATGCTTTTATTGAATAGGCAGTTATATTTTAATGTTTCGACCATATTCTAGGATTTAGGCACAACTGGCTTGACTTGATCTAAAAGCATTTCTGGATCCAATTTGTAATAAAATAATATTATACCCATTAATAATAGTTTGAGTTGAATATTTTCAGTTTCGCAAATAACACTTTAGCAAGTAACATTTTAACTATAATACTTGATTGTTGGGATTTAGTACCTCGAGTTTTTATTTTTTTATTTTAGTACACTTTTAAAAACTGTTATTCAAGTCTCGATGTGTAATTTGAAATTTTAATTTGAATCAAACACTTTTCGTTGATCACTAGCCCTTTTCGTCATGCATAATAAGTTGATTAATTAATTATATATAAATATAGTCAAGAGTTCGAATATAGACCCTGTAAGCACGAAGACATATGTTGGGGCAATTTAACAGTTTTGAGCAAACGAGTTGAATGCTTTTAACACGTTTTTCTTAACTCAGCTTCGCGTTTGTTTGTTTGTTTGTTTGGATGTTTGTTGTTAAAATTGACATCGAAAATTAGCTCACTTCTGATTGCTCTTGAGATCTGAAATTTGGCATACAGGCTACTTTCGCCTAACAATTTCAGATGCAATCATAAAAACTAGCAATTAGAGACCGTAATTAGCTTAATTTAATTACGCCCCAAGGACCATAAAATTGAGGACATGATTTCTAAAGATACCGACAAGACTGGAGGCTTATTGACACAGTTACTTCGGCCCCAATCGATGTGAGCGCGCTGGCCGTGATCGTATAGTGCTTAGTACTTCGCGTTGTGGCCGCGACAACCCAGGTTCGAATCCTGGTCGCTCAAGATTTTTTTAGTCCGTGTATTTATAAACACTTAATCAAGTCATACTTAATCAAGTCATTAGATAAAGTAGAAAATAAACTATATAAAAAACTTTTTAAAAAACCACGTTTTTCATGTGTAGCAACGGACTAAAAAGGAGAAAATAAAATACTTAAAAAAAACTTTTTAAAAAACCACGTTTTTCTTGTGGACTAAAAAGTAGAAAATAAATTTTTCTTTTGTGCTTCCTCGAGCTGTGCAGATTCTTGTGATGACTGACAAAAAACGTGAGTCGGGCAGATGGGTCGGGAAATTTGATGGTGAACGTACCCACGTTTTTTGTCAGTCATCACAAGAATCTGCACAGCTCGAGGAAGCACAAAAGAAAAATTTATTTTCTACTTTTTAGTCCACAAGAAAAACGTGGTTTTGTAAAAAGTTTTTTTAAGTATTTTATTTAAATGATGTAAAAATATCTAGTTTTTTTCAACAGTTTTATGAAATTTTACTACTTTGGTACCTTTTTGTTGCATCTAATTTACAAGGATGATAAATTGAAATCAAATATAAAGCAGGTCGTAACGCATTTTCCACTGAACCATTTGTTTATCATGCCAAAATAATAAATCTAAGGTTTCGCTTTAAATATTTTTGTCAATACCTTCCTTTATTATTGTAAACTTTCTTCTTCGTTCTTAATTTTTAATGGTCGAAACAAGCGTTAGGTGTCAACTTATTAATGTTATGCGCAACGTAGGCCGTTGACTTCGATTTCAGTCGTTTTTTTTTTTTGTCAAACCTAGAACAAGTCAAGATTATTTGATTCAATTTGGAATTGTCTCTCCTAGCAGAGTTGCTGTCCCCATCCAAACCATGTTGTTTAGCCACCATGAGCTTTACCGACTCGACCAGGCCGGCCTCTTTACATACTTCAACTCTATGGTAATTCAAAACAATATCTCACTTCAAACCAGTGCGTGAATTAGTTCAGGTCAAACAAATTAAGTTCATGTCAGATTATGTGTGTATGTGTGTGAGTTGGGGGGGGGGTAGTTAACGTGCTAGAAAACGGGGTGGTTCTAGGTAGGGTCGGCTTTTCCGTCTCCAGCAAGAAAACGAAATAAACGGTTGAGTTGGTTATCCACTTTTTCAGACACTGAAATAGATAGCGTTTTAAATTATTAAACCGTATTTAACCTACCATTATTAATATTTTGAGAAATATTTTTTTAGAATAGATATGGAGCAAATATTAAATACAGCTTTGAAGTCTGAATAATATTTTTTCAGCTATCTAGTTGCTATTTAGTTAACGCCTGTTCAATTTAACTTTGTTTACATAGTGAACGGCTCAGAAATTAAAGGGGCGCTACTTTAATCATACTATAGCACAAGACATAGTTCGCTCCCTTTGATGAATGTTAAACTATACTCTTTAACTTCAATCTGACAATCTTATGTTACATCACTCGACAAATATGTCCTTGTTATAAATATATAGATACTTGTAGCCTTCAGTCTTTGGCGTTTATAAAAGAAATAGATTTCTTGAAAGTAAAATTATGTTAAGTTAAATATGTAGGCCTTACAAGCCTTCCTCAGCGTGTTAGTAGGTACTTCATTCAGTGGAATGTACACGTATGTTTTCTACATTAAGAGAATTTAGTGACATAATTGGCCGGCCTTGTTACAATTTTGATTTCTAACTATATGACGGATATAATTAAATCATATAATTAAATGTATACATGTACAGTATACTTAGCAACGAACAAATTAATATTGCTACGAATTGATACCACTTTACACGAAACATTTACACTCATTAAAATAACAATAAAACGCAGTTAAAAGAAATAAATGTATATTTTAATGCATTTAAAATTAGTAAAGTAATACAATATTTGAGCTTATCTGTAGGCCTATATTGATTTCAACTTAAAAGTATAAAAATGTATAGGCCTATATGGATACATATATATTAATAATACAATATTATTGAAACAATTAAAACATTGGATGCATTCTTAAAATAGTAAATACGTATATGCATTTCTAATGCTTTGATAATATGTATAAGTAACAATTTATCAACACGTTGAGGCTTTTTATGTTGCAAATAATGTCGCATACTATAATAAAAGGCAACATTTTAAAATGATCCTTATTTATATGGATGTATTTCTAGTAATACAGCTATTTCATAATGTCGAGGGAAAATACAAAAAGTCAAATAAACACAGAATTTTTCAATTTAGTTTTTTTCATCGTTCATTTTTTAGGTTGAAATAACTTTAACTCTACGTTTATATTTAGTATTAATTCAGGTAGTTATTATAAAATGAATTGTATTTACAAATTTAAACAGCTGAGGTGCAAAATAAAATACCAATTAAAATTAAATTAATTTATAAAAATAACAGTTTAACACGACTAATTTTGTTTGTGTTCAATGTGTGACAACACAATACAAGTATAACATCGACCATTGCTTTTGCATTATGATAAAGGCAGTGTAAAAAAAAAATATCATAAAAAAACGTTTTAATAACAAGCTTTTATGTAATAATGCACTAAAAAGTAGAAAATAAATTATACACTACTATTTAAATAACTATAAAGAAAAGCGTGGGTCACTTTAGTATCTATTGGATACCTTCACTAATGTTTAGGAAGAGACCCACGCTTTTCTTTATAGTTATTTAAATAGTAGTGTATAATTTATTTTCTACTTTTTAGTGCATTATTACATAACAGCTTGTTATTAAAACGTTTTTTTTTCTGAATTTTTTTTCAGTACTTTACATGTTTTATTTACAATAGAGTTACATGACTAAAAACCATTGCGCGCCTACTGAACGTGATGTCGCGCCTACTGAACGTGATGGCGCAGCTATTGAACGTGTTGACGCGTGTGGTGTGGTTGGATAAGTATGCCTACTAATTTGGTCCAAATTTTAATAAATTCATAAAAAATTAATTAGGCATCCAATTAAGTCAAATTTAGTTTCAGATTGCATTGTCTTCATGTCTTGACCCACGTGCCAAATGTGAATCGTATCGGTCAAGTAGAAGTTTCCGAATTTTCACTCCTGCGTTTCGATCTAGACTGACGACAGACAGACTGTCGACTGACGACAGAGGAAGCGAGTTAAATAAAAGCTTGCAGATGGCAGTACATTTACCAAACACGTTCATAATAACTAGAATTAATTAAAATGTATAACTCAATGTTTTAACTTCTGCCCGGGTGATACAAAAATGTAGTGTACGAAAAATGCCTTTAAAAAACACTTTACTCTTTGTTTTTATCGGTTTAACGGCAGTTAAAATGGTTTGCAGATGTCTGTAATCTGATAAAAATCTGCCTTTTTATGTCATTTGTACTTGCTTATTTCTAATTAAAGTTTTTAATATATTTATATTTATTTGTTTGAAAATACTAATAAAATAAGATACAGAAAACCTATACAGTTTAATACTTGCTCTTTAAAATTCATTTTTAAAATGACTTTTAGATTGCAAAAAACAACAATTCTTGTTCAAAAGTTCTTATTCTGAATTATCAAATACCTTATTAACTGAGCTTTTCATATAATTATATTAATACAATAAAAAAACAACACCCTAATACGAAATCGAAAATAGTACTTCCTTTGCAAAGACAGTTTTGAAGTTATTATTAAAACCTAACCTTTTCATTCAATATTATCACTGTTCATTAACATAAACTTAATTTATAACTTTGATGTCATAACAACATTACCACTTACATCACCAACAAGACCACCATTAGTCACATGACCGTTGTGTACAACACCAATGTTAGCCTCATCATCGGTAAAACCCGCATTAAACTGTCCCTTCTGTAGTCCATAATCTTTATGTTCCTCGCTGCCGTTCTCAACATCAGCCCCTTGCACGTCCGCCTCTTTCTCCTTTGATTTCTCCTGGTAATTTCGTTGGTATCTGGCGAGGGTTCTGTTCTCGGGATCTTTGGGACCCCAACTAGGCGCAGGCTGGTTCAGTCTTTTAAAGAGCTACAATGAATACATGGGAAGTACGTTTTACAGAAAATTCATCAAAGAAAATTTTAAGATTTAGCTTTCAACCTTAGATCTTTGTTTAGTTTTTCATAAAAGAACAAGTCTGTAAGTTGAGATATTTTAATTGTTCTATATTACTATTTATTTGAATACAAAAAAAGCATTCTACACTAGTGAATCCAGACTTTCTTCACTTATAAAAAAAGATAAATTAACCTAAGAATTGCAATCGTACCTTCTAAGTTATACCACAGAAATTCCTTAAGTCCGTGTCTAAATCCCAAATACCTCCACTTATAAATTAGAAATACCTTTCCTCATTTATAGAATTCCTTATGACTGTACTTATCAATCGAAAAGAAATATATTAACTTCGTAATATAATCCTGCTTATTATACTATTGAAATACCTCAACTCATTGATAGAATTCCACATTACTGTAGCCTACTTATAAATAAAAAAGAAATACATTAACTCCGTAAGATAATCCTACCTTCTACTGCTTAAACTAGAGAAATACTTTGAATCAGAGATAGAATCATAGATAACCACACTTATAAAATAGAAAAACCTTAACCCTGTGTTTGAAACCCACATTTCTGCACTTATAAGATAGAAATACCTTAACTCCATTTTTAAATCCAAGCTTTCTGAACTTATAAACTAGAACTACCTCAACTCCATGTTTGAATCTAACCTTTCTGCACTTATAAACTAGAACCACCTTAATTCCGTGTTTAAATCCCTGTTTCCTCCACTCGTGAAGGTACCTGACCACATACCACAGGGGCGTCCACACCATAACCGCAGCCACAATCAACCACCCCAGGGCTTCAGCCCAGTCGGGGTAGTGTTCGTCGGTGATTGGTTCGTATTGGACACATTCAAACACTATGATGGCCTAGAACAAAAGATACAATCATTCAAAAACTATAAGACATTACAATACAATGGAACATTCAAACTCAATGACGGTCTAGAAAAATGATACATTGAGACATAAAAATGCAATTATGGCCTAGAACAAATGATACAATGAGTTAGGTACCAATCAGAGTTGGGTAGACTCAGGGACGGTCTACTGACTTGAACCCGGATTCGAACTCGAGACTTACGGGTTAGCAGTCCAGCTCTCTACCGCTAGACCACTCCGTCCCGTATCTTAATAAATCTCACTGATATTACCGCTATCAGAATGTTAACTTTTATCATCATAAATCTCATGTAAATCATCCCCATCACAAGACCTACCAGAATCAGAACCGGTGCGAAGAAGACCCAGTTCCAGAGGAAATAGCCGTAGAAAAGATATTTGGAACTTTTGATTCCTCCAACCATCAACAGCACATCCTCAGCAAAATTTTTGACACCTGGTCGTGACGAAAACCAAAATTAAACTCAATAAACATTGTTGACAAGAGTAACATATGACTTATGTGTATCTATTAAACATGTGATCGTTAGACGCAATTAAGTAGACCGCTTATGTGGGATACAAATCGTCATTAAAATGTATAAAAATCGATTCATAACTTGTGTAACAATCGAACTATACAAAGTTTAGCAATTGGTCTATGAAAAGTATAGCAGCTGATATACAATATATCAATCGACAAGTGAGGTCACCGTATATCACAACAAAGGGGAGGACATTTAGGACCCCTATCAACATTATGCAGACACTCAACTATTCAACAATCGGCCTTACATCAATGGTCTTACACCAATGGCCTTACACCAATGGCCTTACACTAATCGGCCCTACATCAATCGGCCTTACACCAATGGCCTTACACGAATCGGCCTTACATCGATCGGCCTTACATCAATGGCCTTACACCAATCGGCCTTACACTAATCGGCCTTCCACCAATCGGCCTATCAACCTACCATATATCCACACAATAACCAGGATCTCAAGAAACCCCACCAGCAGTAGAGGTAACCCAACAAATATATCGCACAGGTCTTGTAGGTAAGTACCGCCCTAGGAGGTAATAATGAGAGTTACCACTTTAACAATATACATGTTCAAGTTTATCAATATACATGTTAACGTTTATCAATATAGGCCTACATGTTAACGTTTATCAATTTACATGTTGAAGTTTATCAATATACATGTTCAAGTTTATCAATATACATGTTCAAGTTTATCAATATACATGTTCAAGTTTATCAATATACATATATTTATATTTATAACATAATTGTGTTTCAGCCAAGACAACATGCATTTAACTTGCTTCATCTATCAATCGCCAATCTGTCTGTCGTCATAATGTACTAATGTACGTGTACACAAATAACGATATTGTACCTGTGTCGTCATGGGTAGCCCCAGCAAAAAGCCGATGATGCAGACACTAATACGGAACAACATGGCGACGTTCTTCCTCCGGAAGTAAGCGAACTCGTCTTGTAGAGCTGTGAGCACAGTCTCAACGCTGGGGAACTGTGGGAAAAGGATTGGATCAATTTAAAATGAATTCAAAATATACAGAAAACAGCTTCTTTAACGGTTTCAACGATTAAAAAAACATAAACATAATGTTAATTTTAAACAACATACTAAATTTTAACATTGTAAACAATATACTTTAGACTATTATAGGCAAGTTATTTTTTTAAATAGAGTAAAATTTAGATAAATTTGCCAACGGAATTTCTTAGCAATAAGAAAGACAAAATATAGTTCAATTTATGTACGCGATCTCCGCATAAAAACGGCTAAAGTAGTCAGCTGAATTTCCAGCCGCCTTTACTTATCTACACGTGAGTTAGGTACCCAATAAAGCTAGGTGGGATTGGGGAAAAACTATGGTCTAAAGCCAGTAATCCAAACAACTCAAGATTTACAGATTATAAGTCGTTCAATCACTGCCTACGTTAATACAATAGCAAAGAATAAGTAAAAAGTCTAACATATTAATTAAGTCCGTGTTGGCTGGAAAAATCAGAGTCAAGCCACGTACTATGTTGATAGCATGCGTTGTGTCTCCATAACACAGGATTGCATACAGGTTTAATAATACGACAGCCTACCTTAGTCCCCAATAGATAAATGAAATGACAGCCTACCTGAGTTCCCAGTACGTAAATCATACAACAGCCTACCTGAGTTCCCAGACCGAGACAAATTAACATCAGGAAGAAGAACACAGACCACAACTGTGGAACCGGAAGTTGTGACAACGCTTCAGGATAGGCGACAAAAATAAGACCTTGACCTATGTCAAAAGGAAATGACGAGTTACATTTAGGGACATGAACAGTACTTGCAATAGTTTCAGTTGAAAAAAAAAAACACGCTCACTGTGTGTGTATATATATATATATATATATATATATATATATATATATATATATATATATATATATATATATATAAGCGTGTATGTGTGTGTGTATTTGTAGAACGAAATCTTCTATCTTTACTTTGATCGATTGGCATGCCATCCATAGTCTATTTACAACTAGTGGAGACATTATCACCTTTTTGTACTAGCCCAACATATCTATTTCAATAGTGACACATCTACCCATCATCCTTGGTGTCACTAATATCTACCATACATGGTGTTACACATACCTAGCATCCGCAGATGAGATCTCTTTCTACCATTCGTGGTGACATCAAAATACTATCAGTGGTGAAACATCTTACTATCATTAATGGTGACACATATACGTACCATCAGTGGTGACACATATACGTACCATCAGTGGTGACACATATACGTACTATCCATGACACATATACCTACCATCCATGATTACACATCTTACTACCATCAGTAATGACACATCTACCTACCATCAATATACGTACTATCAATTATGACACTTCTACCTACCATCAGTGTTGACACCTGTACGTATTATCAATCGTGACACATCTACCTACCATCAGTGGTGATACATATATCTACAATCAGAGGTGACACATCTACCTACCATCCGTGGTGACATTTTCCACAGCGACCCCTGTATTTTCAGCCATATATCCCAGAATTGAGAATATCGCAAAGCCGGCGTAGAAACTCGTCAGACAGTTAATGATTGGCACCATAATGCTGTCTCTGTAAGACAACATATTACAATGTCAGACAGGTAAAAATGGCCCAATGATGCTGTCTCTGTAAGACAACATATTACAATGTCAGACAGGTAAAAATGGCCCAATGATGCTGTCTCTGTAAGACAACATATTACAATGTCCTCATCTACTTTCGTTTTCGTTCCTTACTGAACATTTCAATGTCAACGTTAGTTATTATAAAGTTTAAAATAATAACATAGTGTTTTCTAGCAGAGTCTATATATTAATTTTTATGTAAAAATCTTTAAGTTTCAATAAATGGATAATGAACAAGGCGAAAAAGTAGACATCTTGTCATGATAGACTATTGGTAGTTATGAATAATATAAGCACATGTTCAACTTGGTAATACTTACAAATTATGGTTTGACTTAATTAGAACAGTATCACTACATGTAATTTAACATTGTTAGAACAGAGATAAATACGACTTTTGCAATAGATTATTACCAAAAAAAACAAAAAAGGCATTGTTATTGAATTTGTTATACCTGAGGACGTTGATATTGAATTTGTTATACCTGAGGACGTTGTTATTGAATTTG